TACCCAATCAACCACAGATATCAGGAGAAAGCTCCAAAAGCGAGCCCTGGGCCCTGAACAAAATCTGGAGGCATTAGTAAACCTGGCGACCTCAGTGTTCTATAATAGGGACCAAGAGGAACAGGCCCAAAAGGAAAAGCGAGATCAGAGAAAGACCACAGCCTTAGTCATGGCCCTCAGAAAAACAAACCTTGGTGGTTCAGAGAGGACAGAAAATGGAGCAGGCCAGTCACCCGGTAGGGCCTGTTATCAGTGTGGTTTACAAGGACACTTTTTAAAAAAAAATTGTCCTATGAGAAACAAGCTGCCCCCTCACCCATGTCCACTATGCCGAGGCAATCACTGGAAGGCACACTGTCCCAGAGGACAAAGGTTCTCTGGGACAGAAGCCGCCAACCAGATGATGCAACAACAGGACTGAGAGTGCCTGGGGCAAGCACCAGCTGATGTCATCACTCTCACTGAGCCCTGGCTATGTATAACCATTGAGGGCCAGGAAATTGACTTCCTCCTGGACACTGGCAGGGCCTTCTCAGTGTTAATCTCCTGTCCTGGATGACTGTCCTCAAGGTCTGTTACCATCCGAAGAATCCTGGGACAGCCTGTAACCAGGTATTTCTCCCACCTCCTCAGTTGTAACTGGGAGACTTTGCTCTTTTCACATGCCTTTCTTATTATGCCTGAAAGTCCCACACCCTTATTAGGGAGGGATATATTAGCCGAAGCTGCAGCTATTATCTACATGAATATGGGGAACAAGTTAACCACTTGTCCCCTGCCTGAGCAGGGAATCAACCCTGAAATCTGGGCATTGGAAGGAACAAACTCAAGCTCCAGCCTTAAGCCTTCCCACAGGACGAAACTTTTCTTTAAACATCACAGAGAGAGCAGGAATAGCTCTTGGGGTCCTTACTCAGACTCGTGGGACAACCCCACAGCCAGTGGCATACCTAAGTAAGGAAACTGATATAGTAGCAAAAGGCTAGCGTCACTGTTTACAGGTAGCTGTGGCAGTGGATGTCTTAGTGTCAGAGGCTATCACAATAATACAAGGAAAGGATCTCGCTGTCTGGACTACTCATGATGTAAATGGCACACTAGGTGCCAAAAGAAGTTTATGGGTATCAGACAACCGCCTGCTTAGATACCAGGCACTATTCCTTGAGGGACTGGTGCTTCAAGTGCATATGTGTGAGGCCCTCAGCCCTGCCGCTTTGCTCCCAGAGGATGGGGAGCCGGTCGAGCATGGCTGCCAACAGGTTGTAGTCCAGACTTATGCCGCCCAAGAGGATCTCTTAGAAGTCCCCTTAGCTAATCCAGACCTTAGCCTATATACCGATGGAAGTTCCTCTGTGGAAAATGGGATACAAAGGGCAGGTTATGCCACAGTTAGTGATGTAACCGTACTTGAAAGTAAGCCTGCACTTTGGGAGGCCGAGGCGGGCGGATCACAAGGTCAGGAGATCGAGACCACAGTGAAACCCCGTCTCTACTAAAAATACAAAAAATTAGCCGGGCGCGGTGGCGGGCGCCTGTAGTCCTAGCTACTCAGGAGGCTGAGGCAGGAGAATGGCTTGAACCCAGGAGGCGGAGCTTGCAGTGAGCCGAGATCGCGCCACTGCACTCCAGCCTGGGCAACAGCGTGAGACTCCGTCTCAAAAAAAAAAAAAAAAAAAAAAAAGAAAGTAAGCCTCTTCCCCCAGGGACCAGCGCCCAGTTACTCTTCCCCCCAGGGACCAGCGCCCAGTTAGCAGAACTAGTGGCACTTAACTGAGCCTTAGAACTGGGAAAGGGAAAAAGGATAAATGTGTATACAGATAGCAAGTATGCTTATCTAATCCTACATGGCCATGCTGCAATATGGAAAGAAAGGGAGTTCCTAACCTCTGGGGGAACCTCCATTAAATACCACGAGGAAATCATGGAGTTATTGCACTCAGTGCAAAAACCCAAGGAGGTGGCAGTCTTACACTGCCGAAGCCATCCAAAAGGGGAAGGAGAGGGGAGAACAGCAGCATAAGCAGCTGGCAGAGGCAGGAAAAGAGCAGCAGAGAGAAAGAGAGAGACAAAGTCAAAGACAGAAGGAAAGAGAGGAAGAGACAAAGGAGTCAGAGAGAAAGAGAAGTAGTAAAGAAATAACAGTGTACCCTATTCCTTTAAAAGCCAGGGTAAATTTAAAACCTGTAATTCACACCTGTAATGCCAGCATTTTGGGAGGCCAAGGCTGATGGATCACGAGGTCAGGAGTTCGAGATCAACTTGGCCAACATGGTGAAACCCCATCTCTACTAAAAATACAAAAATTAGCTGGGGGTGGTGGTGTGCGCCTGTAATTCCAGCTACTTGGGAGGCTGAGGCAGGAGAATTGCTTGAACCCAGGAGGCAGAAGTTGCAGTGAGCCTAGACTGTGCCACTGCACTCCAGCCTGGGTGACTGGCAAGACTTTGTCTCCAAAAAAAAAAGGTAAAAATATAAAACCTATTATTGATAATTGAAGGTCTTCTCTGTAACCCTATAACACTCCAATACCACCTTGTTGTCAGTGTAAACAAGGGCATAGCCTGAAAGCACTGAGGCCACTGACAACCCGTAGCCTTCCTATCAAAAATCCTTAACCCAGCAGGTTTCCTAACAGGGGATCTAAATCTGAAGGTCTGACCAGACGTAGGAGGAACTCCCTTCAGGACAGGATGATAGATGTTTCCTCCCAGGCGATTAAGGAAAAAGACACAATGGGTATTCAGTAAGTGATCAGGAAACTCTTACAGAAGCAGAGTTAGGAAAATTGCCTAACAATTGGTCTGCTCAAACATGCCAGCTGTCTGCACTTAGCCAAACCTTAAAGTACTTACAGAATCAGAAAGGAGCCATCTATACCAATTTTAAGTTAATATGGACTGAACGAGGTCTTATTAAGAGCAAATAATACTTGAAATCCCAAACTTAACAAGGTTTTCAACAAAAGTAAAGTTTGCTAAAAGTTAACAGTGTAACATATATTATCCTAACTTCTAATCTTATGGAAATCAGACCCTATCAGTGCCCCTCAAAGCTCAAGTCCTTCAGCACAGGGCCATACAACTAATACCCCATGTATATAGGGTTAGAAATGGCCACTGCTACAGGAACCAGAATAGCCAGTTTATCTACTTCATTATCCTACTACCACACACGCTCAAAGGATTTCTCAGACAATTTGCAAGAAATAACAAAATCTGTCCAGTAAGGATAGTAACTGCAATCCCACATAGACTCTGGCAGCAGTGACTCTCCAAAACCCCCCAAGGCCTAGACCTCCTCACTGCTGAGAAAGGAGGACTTGGTGCCTTTTTAGGGGAAGAGTGTTGCTTTTACACTAACAAGTCAGGGATAGTGCGAGGTGCCGCCCAGCATTTACAGGAAAAGGCTTCTGAAATCAGACAATGCCTTTCAAACTCTTATACCAACCTCTGGAGTTGGGCAACATGGCTTCTCCCCTTTCTAGGTCCTGTGACAGCCATCTTACTATTACTCGCCTTCAGGACCTGTATTTTTAACCTCCTTGTCAAATTTGTTTCCTCTAGAATAGAGGCCATCAAGCTACAGATGGTCTTATAAACAGAACCCCAAATGAGCTCAACTAACAACTTCTACCAAGGACCGCTGGACCGACCTGCTGGCCCTTTCACTGGCCTAGAGAGTTCCCCTCTGGAGGACACTACAACTGCAGGGCACTTTCTTTGCCCCTATCCAGCAGGAAGTAGCTAGAGCAGTCATCGCCCAATTCCCAACAGCAGCTGGTGTGTCCTGTTTAGAGGGGGATTGAGAGGTAAAGCCAGCTGAACTTCCTGGGTTGAGTGGGGACTTGGAGAACTTTTCTGTCTAGCTAGAGGTTTGCAAATGCACCAATCAGCACTCTGTAAAAACGGACCAATTAGTGCTCTATGTCTAGCTAAAGGTTTGTAAATGCACCAATCAGCACTATGTAAAAACACACCAATCAGCGCCCTGTCTAGCTAAAGGTTTGTAAATGCACCAATCAGCACTCTGTAAAAATGGACCAATCAGTGCTCTATAAAATGGATCAATCAGCAGGACGTGGGCGGGGTCAAATAAGGGAATAAAAGCTGGCGCCCCTGCCCCACCCCCCCATCCCAGCCAGCAGCAGTCAACCACTGGGGTCCCCTTCAATGCTGTGGGAGCTTTGTTCTTTTGCTTTTTGCAATAAATCTTGCTGCTGCTCACTCCTTGGGTCCGCACTAACTTTATGAGCTGTAACACTGACCGCAAAGGTCTGCAGCTTCACTCCTAAAGTCAGCAAGACCACGAACCCACCAGGAGGAACAAACAACTCCAGGTACACCACCTTTAAGAGCTGTAACACTCACTTCGAAGGTCTGTGGCTTCACTCCTGAAGTCAGCAAGACCATGAACCCCCTGGAAGGAAGAAACTCCAGACACATCTGAACCTCTGAAAGACCAAACTCTAGACACACCATCTTTAAGAACTGTAACACTCACTGTGAGGGTCCGCGGCTTTATTCTTAGAGTCAGCGAGACCAAGAACCCACAGGAAGCAACCAATTCTGGACACACCAGGAGCTGGAGACCAGCCTGGGTGTGCAACACAGAGAGACAAGACCCCCATCTGTACCAAAAATAAATAAAAATAGGAAGACTGAAATCATACTAAGTCTGTTCTCGAAGAAAACCAAATTAAACGGCTGTGGAGATGAACTACTTCTACACATGTACAAGTGCTTAGGACAGGGGTTCTCCGCTGGAGGAACCACGTGGAGAGACAGGCTGGAGGCCTTGAGACCCCAAAGCCTAGGAAAGCAGAGCTTCACCAAGAGCATGGCTTTAGTCTGCAGGTGTGAGGGTTTCCTGCCCTCCAAGCGTTCCTGGCTACTCTCTCTGGGCTCCGCCTATGCAAGTGTCCCTGGGAGGCCTGGGCCACCAGGAGGGGTCCTCCCTCTCACATCCCTGCGGTCCCCAGCAAGGCCATGAGCAGGCCCTACCTGGTAGCCCACCACCTCCGCCAAGTCGGGGTAGACAGGCGGTGGCTCGCGCAAGCAGCACAGGAAGAAGGCCGTGTCGAAGCGGCGAGTGGCGCTGCGCGAGAAAGGGGTAAGCCATGCACTCCAGTTGTGCAGCGCCCAGATGTCGGGCGTGCAGTCGAGGTGGGCGCACAGCCGCAGGAAGTGGCGCGGGTCCCGCCGCACGCGGGCGCGCCAGGCTGCCAGGCCCGGGGGCGGCTCCAGGGCGAGGCCGGGCCCTGGTGCTGGGCCAGGCGGGGAACTCCTGGGCCGCAGCAGCAGCACGCCCGCCTCCTCGAAGGCCTCGCGCACGGCGCAGATGCGGAAGGCTACGTCCTCAGGCAGCGCCCCAGTGTTGTCGGCGTTGCTGTCACCGGTGTGGGGTAGCGACGGGAAAGCGGCCCGGCTGAATGGCGCTGGGCCCAGGCCAAAGCCTGGCGGCCCATGGTGCGGCGCGAAGAGGCCCAGCCAGTCCGCCGAGCGGTCGGCTGCGTCCAGCACTCCGCCCGGGAAGACGTGCGCGCCCGGCATGAAGCCTTGGTGCGGGGAGCGCTGCAGCAGCAGCAGCCGGAAGCCCTCGGCGGGCGGCGGGCGCGACGGCGGGGTGGCAGTCTCCGGGCGCGTCCAGGCTGCCGCCAGCACGATGCTGGCCGCCCGCCGCCAGCGGCTGGGGCCCGGCCGCAGGGAGCTGTTCATGGCGCGCGGTTACCCGGATACGATTCTGGCGCGGCTGGGGCTCCTCGGCAGGTGGCCCTGCCCTGCAGGGACCCCAGCACCCCCGGCGGCCTCGCGGGGCTTGAGGGCGAGCGTCCGGCGCTGGGTGAACCTGGGCGTTTGGTTGGCACCTGCACCGGCGCCTGCCTGTGGGAGGGGCAACTGAGCAGGCACCGCCTTGAGTGCAGTGGGGTCCAGCTAGGGCACTCTCGCGGGACAATGGGTGTGACGGCAGCCAGCGAGCGTTTTGTCATTCACAGCTGTCTGAAAGGAGGACCGCAGTATTCCCACGCAGGAAGCTTGGACCAAGAGCAGGAATGCTTAAGGCCGCATATGACTTCCCATGGTGAAAAAAACAGGATGCAAACCCAGGCCTGATGACATCCACCCCGCTAAAAGCTCAGGACTAGGACTTTCTCCTTTAAACAAGGATCCACATGTGGGTGTTCCCTGTGGGAGAGGAAGAGAGGACATTCGAAGGGCAGAAGGTTGACCTTTACAAGCACACATGAACCACACCAATGAGAAATGAATGGATGAACCAGATGCCAAATTATAAATTTCCTACTGCACAGCTTCAATGTGAAAGGTACTCCCAGAGTCATTTCTCTCGTGTTCTGGTTACCTTTTATTGTCAGGGAGCCTGGGGACGGCCTTAGGTGTCTTAGGACATTTGACGAGTTCCACTTTGATGGGAGATGTTTAATCTGGGCCTCCACATGGAGATTTCTCTCCACCTTTTTAGTGTCTAGAAGACTCCCACCTTCAATAGCAGGATTATGATCTTTTGAAAAGCCTGTGTAAATTTGACTCTTTTATAATTCCTTGTCAGTCACCAACAGCTTCTGCCATAATTGCTATTATAATTGGATTATACATTTGTTATATTTTTGGATGAAATACACTATACTCCTGCCGACCCTCACAAGCCATCATTTTAATGTGGGTTATTTCCTGGGTAGAATCCACAGATGACATTGTCAATATTTAGGGTTTTGTTTGTTTGTTTGTTTTAAGAGATCTGGTCTCTGGCCAGGCGCTGTGGCTCACACCTGTAATCCCAGCACTTTGGGAGGCCGAGGCGGGCGGATCACCTGAGGCCAGGACTTCGACACCAGCGTGGCCAAAATGGCAAAACCCCGTCTCTACTAAAAATATAAAAATTAGTTGGGTGTGGTGGCCCGCACCTATAGTTGCAGCCACTCGGGAGGCTGAGGCAGGAGAATCACGTGAATCTGGGCGGAGGTTGCAGTGAGCCAAGATCGTGCCACTGCATTCCGGCATGGGTGACAGAGCAAGACTCTGTCTCAAAAAAACAAATAAAAATACGGAGCAAGGGAGAGAAAGAAATTAAGGTACTCAGGTGATTAAAGTAACATGTCTTCAATACTAGGAGTAATAATAATCCTAGGGGATAATAATATTAGTAGTTACTAAGTACACTGTGTCTGAGGCACTAGGAACTTTATAGTGTTAGTTGTGTAATTCTTACAAAACCCCATGAAGTGGAAAGACTTATCACCATTTTACAGACGACTAACCATTTATGGAGGGATTAAGAGTCTTAAGAACATAGTACTCCCTTCACAGTAAAATAACACCATGGTTTTGTGGGTGAATGTGTATGTTTCAACATCAGCTGCTTTTCACAGAAGCTGATTACTCATGAGTGAGATGACCAAGTCCTGGGTGCATAGCAAAATAAGAGAAACTGAACCTTTTTTTTTTTTTTTTTGAGGGGGAGTCTGGCTCTCTCACCAGGCTGGAGTGCAGTGGTGTGATCTCAGCTTACTGCAATATCTGCCTCTTGGGTTCAAGCAATTCTCCTGCCTCAGCCTCTGGAGTAGCTGGGATTGCAGGTGCGTGCTACCACGCCTCACTAATTTTTGTATTTTTAGTAGAGACAAGGTTTCATCATGTTGGCCGGGCTGGTCTCAAACTCCAGACCTCAAGTGATCCACCTACCTCAGCCTCCCAAAGTGCTGGGATTACAGGTGTGAGCCACCACACCTGGCAGAAACTGGACCTTTACCAACACAGAACGGTGTCCAAAATGTGCACACTGCCATGACTGTCATACGTGGGGCTCTGAGATGACACAATTAACAGTTTACGGATCCAGAGATCACATCGTATAAACTCAGTTATCTGAACTGTAGCCAAGAAACAGTACAGAACCAAAGAACTATCCATGAGCATTCAAAGAGATACAGATATCATATTCAAATCTAAAGTGCTCTGCTCACAGGACAAATTAATTTGTGGATATATTATTTACTTAATGCTGTTAACAAATTACTCAAAAACTTGGTAACTTAAATCAGTAAACACTTACTGTCCAGGCATAGTGGGTAATGCCTGTAACCCTAACGCTTTGGGAGGCCAAGGCGGGAGGATAACTTGAGGCCAGGAATTCGAGACCAGCCTGGGAAATACAGCGAGATCCCATCTCTTAAAAAAAGAAAATTAGCGGCCAGGCGAGGTGGCGCACGCCTGTAATCCCAGCACTTTGGGAGGCCAAGGTGGGTGGATCACAGGTCGGGAGATCGAGACCATCCTGGCTAACACGGTGAAACCCTGTCTCTACTAAAAATACAAAAAAGCTGGGCGTGGTGGCGGGCGACTGTAGTCGCAGCTACTCGGAAGGCTGAGGCAGGAGAATGGCAAGAACCCGGGAGGCAGAGCTTGCAGTGAGCCGAGATTGTGCCACTGCACTCCAGCCTGGGCGACAGAGTGAGACTCTGTCTCAAAAAAAAAAAAAAGAAAAGAAAATTAGCTGGGTGTGGTATCACATGCCTATAGTCCCAGCTACTCAAGAGGCTGAGATGGGAGGATCACTTGAGCCCAGGAGTTGGAGGCTGCAGTGAGCCATGATCATGCCACTGTACTCTGACCTGGGCAACAGAGCAAGACTCTGCCTCGAAATAGAAAAAAAGAGGCGGGGTGCAGTGACTCACACCTGTAATCCCAGCACTTTGGGAGGCCAAGGCGGGTGGATCACCTGAGGTCAGGAGTTTGAGACCAGCCTGGCTAACATGGTGAAACCCCATCTCTACTAAAAATACAAACAAAAATGTACCTGCGTGTGGTGGCAGGCACCTGTAATCCCAGCTACTCAGGAGGCTGAGGCAGGAGAACCGCTTGAACCCAGGAGGCGGAGGTTACAGTGACCTGAGATAGTACTACTGCACTCCAGCCTGGGTGACAGAGCAAGACTCCGTCTCAAAAACAAAAACAGAACAAAAAACAAGAAAAACAAACAAAAAACAATGGACATTGATTATCCCACCGTTTCTGTTGATCAGGGATGAGGGACCACCTCCATGTGGTGATCCTAACTCAGTATCTCCCATGAGGTTGTGATCAGCATGTCAGCCAGGGCTTGTCCAGCACTGGGAGATCCAGTTCCTCAATGGCTCACTCACATGACTGTTGGCAGGAGGCCTAGTTCCTTACTGCATGGATCTTTCCATAGGGTTGATTCAATGTCTTCAGGACTTGGTGGGTAAACTTCTCCCACAAAGAGTGATCCATGAGAGAGGAAGAAACCATGATGTCTTTTAGGACTTAGCCTCAAAAGTTACACTTCAGGCCGGGCACAGTGGCTCACAACTGTAATCCCAACACTTTGGGAGACTGAGGCAGGTGGACGACCTGAGGTCAGAAGTTTGAGACCAGCCTGGCCAACATAGTGAAACCCTGTCTCTACTGAAAATATAAACCAATTAGCCAGGTGTGATGGTGCGTACTTGTAATCCCAGCTACTTGGGAGGCTGAGGCAGGAGAATTGCTTGAACCCGGGAGGTGGAGGTAGCAGTGAGCTGAGATCACGCCACTGCCCTCTAGCCTGGACAAGAGTGAAAACTCTGTCTTAAAAATAAAAAAAAAAGAAAAGAAAAGAAAAAGAAAAAAAGAAGTTACACTCCATTATTTCCACAGTATCCTAGCATTACACTGGTTAGCTCTATGCAATGTGAGAGGGAGGAAACACCAGGAGATGGGGAAGTCACCTTGGAGGCTGGCTCTAAAGGAACATCCAAGACGGGGTAATTTATATAGAAAAGAGATTGTTTGGCTCACAGTTCTGCAGGCTGTACAAGAACCATAGTGCCAGCATCTTCTCCTGGTGAGGCTTCAAGAAGCTTCCAGTCATGACAGAAGGCAAGAGGGGGCGGCATGTCATTGGCGAGAGGGAGCAAGAGAGATGCTAGGCTGTTTTAAACAACCAGCTCTTGCATGAACTAATAGAGCAAGAACTCCCTCATTACCGTGGGGAAGGCACCAAGCCCTTCATGAGGGATCCGCCCCCATGACCCAGACATCTCCTGCTAGGCCTAAGTCCAGCATTGGGGATCACACTTCAACATGAGATTTGGAGGGTGCAAGTATCCAAACCATATCACTAACACAGTGGATAAAAAAAAATGAAGCCATCTAAGCATTAGAAGAAAACAGATAAATTCTGTATAACCTTTGATTTGAAATCTAGAGGCAATAAAGGATTGATCAGTTGCACTCTCTGTCCGTATATATAACTTTATTATGACAAGAAACACCATCAGCAAAGTATAAGATAAATGATCAACTGGAAAATTATCTGCAACGTCCGTCACAAAGGATAAGAGTTGAGGAAAAATGGAGAAGAAAAACCAGTTGTAGAACTGTGTAGAAAAAAGGGCAAGAGATATGAAAAGACAATTCATAGTAGTGATTTAGTGAAAGTCGCACAGCCAGCAAATATAGGAATCTGTCTCCAAACTGGCCAGCATGTTCTCAGAGTGCCCTGCCCTCTTCTGCCTGTGGCACGGTGCCAGCTGCTCAGGCCTGGCTGTGGGTGTGCACACAGCCACCCCTGACAAGCACAGCAATTATGCTGTGCCGCTGGGTCACAAGAGATCAGGTAGCTTTGTTTATGACAACAGTTGCTCACTTTCTAGCTAAAGACACTTAACTCTTTATTCTGAGATGGAGCCGGGATCCCT